GAATACTTATCAACTGAGAACATAATTGTTATTATTATGAATACTTACCAACTTGTATATCTCCTGTCACTATTACACCTTTTTATAATCACGATCACTCTACATGATTCACAATTAGGATCGTTTGTTTTATAGTCAGCATCTCTAGGTTTATTTTAAAACGATTTTCACCATACTTAACTTTCAGGCACCATCACTATAAATATCTAACAATAAGTAGCGTTATGGTTACCTGTATGATGTGTCCCATGCAGGTAACTCTGTGACACGCGACATATATAAAGATAATTTAAATGATTCCCTCCAATGTTTGTTGATCACTTAGAATGGGTTATTTTCATTATTTCTATTGTTGTTGTTGTTGTTGTGATGATTGTTATCATTACTACTAATTTTACGATCTTTATTATTTCGCAATTATCATTGTTGTTATGATTGTTCTCATTATCATCATATCATCATCATCATTATTATTATTATTATTATTATTATCATTGTTATTATTATCATTATTATTATTATTATTATTATTATTATTATTATTATTATTATTATATTATTATTATTATATTCATTATATTATCATTATCATTATTATTATTATTATTATTATTATTATTATTATTATTATTATTATTATTATTATTATTATTATATTATTATTATTATTATATTATTATATTATTATTTTTATTTCATTATTATTATTATTATTATTATATATTATTATTATTATTATTATTATTATATTATTATCATTATTATTATATTATTATTATATATTATATTTTATTATTATTTATTATTATCATTATTATTATCATTGTTATTATTTATATATTTATTTATTAATTATCATTATTATTATCATTATCATATCATTATTATTATTGTTTATCATTTATTATTAATATTATTATTATTGTTATCATTATCATTATTATTATTATCATTATCATTGTTATTATTAATATTATTATTATTATTATCATTATCATAATTATCATTATTATTATTATATTATCATTGTAATTATCATTATTGTTATTATTGTTATCATTATCATTATTGTTATCACTATCATTATTATTATTATTATCATTGTAATTATCATTAATGTTATCATTATCATTATATTATTATTATTATTATTATTATTATTTATTATTATTATTATTATTATTATTATTATTATTATTATTATTATATTATTATTATTATTATTATTATTATTATATTATTATTATTATTATTATTATATTATTATTATTATTATTTATTATTGTATTATCATTATTATTATTTATTATTATCATTATATTATTATTATTATTATTATTATTATTATTATTATTATTATTATTATTATTATTATTATTATTATTATTATTATTATTATTATATTATTATTATTATTATTATTATTATTATTATATTATTATTATATTATTATTATTTATTATTATTTATTATTATTATTATTATTATTATTATTATTATTATTATTATTATTATTATTATTTATTATTATTATTATTATTATTATTGATTATTATTATATATTATCATTATTATTATCATTGTTATTATTAATATTATTATTATTATTACTATCATTATCATATCATTATTTATTATTATTATTATTATCATTGTTATTATTAATATTATTATTACTATCATTATCATAATCATTATCATTATTATTATTATTATTATTATTGTTATTATTATTATTAATTGTGATATCATTATTGTTATCATTATCATTATTATCATTATTATTATCATTGTAATTATCATTATTGTTAACATTTTTGTTATTATTATTGTTGTTATTATCATTACTATTTTTTCTATCATTATCATTACCATTACCATTACCTTTATTAGCAATATGATTGTCGTTATTATAAAAAACAAGAAGATTGTACGAAAAGATTCTAATTGTTATATTACTGATAATGTTTACGAGCGGGACATAATCAGCTGGTAACACTGAGGTGAAAAAAAAAATCAGTTCAGGTGCCGGTTTGTTAGAATTGTGCGAGGTCCGACCCAAAGAATAATCGTATACTGGACATGCATAAATAAATAAATAAATGCATATTTATCAGTCTAGACATGCATATCAACCGGGCAAATAGACAGTTAAATGTATATCTATTAGATATGTAGATGGATAGGCCTATATTTCTGCGTCTGTATTTATGAAAATTAATTGGGTCGGCCATGGCACAATTTTAACAAACCGGCCGCAAGTTTTCATTTTCCCCCTGTAATATTACGTGTCAATAAGGTTGCAAATTCCTGGCGAAGCAAATTGCAATCAGTATTCATATTTTACAATCCCGCCTGACTAGATTTACTGCCTTTATTACCACAGAAGGAATGTATTAGCGTCAATTATTGATATTTTCTGTCGGTCTTTCGCTCCCACTGTTCGACACCATATTTTTTTATATTATCTCACCTGGCTTATCTGATATCACAATTGTAAACATTACTATAGGGTAGTAACGATATAGAACAATGGTGCCATGTATGTTATTGCGCAAATGTCTTATTGCGCTATATTCTATATGGATTTATATGAGTTTAATACGTAGCTGTAGGATTTGGTATGTTTTACAGGGTTGTTTACGATCCATTTCGATATATGGATTCTGTGCATTACGGTGTTCGTGGAATGGAGGTCTGTGTACGGTATATTTTCTCTCTCACTGTTATAGAAAATAGTTACTTACAGCAAATAGAAGCGACAAAGTATTTTTTTTAACTTACATTAGTTTTACAGCAAATAGAAGCGACAAGGTATTGTTGTTGTTGTTGTTTTTAACTTACAAGTGTTTATATTATGTTCTGAGTCATTATGCTGATATAGGTTAGTGATAATAGCCTGTATTGGTATTATACATAGCGGTGCATTGAGGTCAGGTAATGATATTAATACTAT